AGACAAGAGTCTCCTCTCTCAAGATGAGACTTTAGTCTCTGAACGTAAGACTCACATCTCTCAAGATGCCACACTACTCTCTCAAGACAAAACTCTCGTCTCACAAGAAGGTAGTAACTTATTTTTGAGTGGTAAGTATTGTAAATTAAGTGTTTTTTTTTCTTTGTTTTGTTGTTGTTTTTTTACAACAGATGCCAATCGTAATTACCGTGACAGTGAAAAGGGGCAGATGGTATGCCTGGATACCTTGGCTGCCTTTTATGTCCAACAAGCAAGGAAAGAGAGAAACAAGGAGACCAAAAAAGAACTATTTACAAAGGTACTTTGAAACTTTCTGGTCAGACTATACAGGGTAGATGTTGTGGTTCCATTTTATTCTTTGTTCAAATTAATTTTTATTTCGTAGGTTCAAACTATCATTATCATACCCAAAAACAATAGGCTTGCTTTAAGGCTTATTTTTCCTTTTAGCAAGCTGTCCATTTCAGGGATATTGTGAGAATTCACACATAAGTGCCCCTTGTGGTTTAGTCACTGGCTCGTGTTCTCTCATGGCTCATTTCCCTCAGGACTTGAAATGGAAAGCTTTCTTCCTGGATTGGCTTAAATTGAACCACTAGAGTGTGTACATGTTATAAGTCTAATTTGTCACCCATGATATTAATAGGTAATCAAATGGTATACTTGTGAAATTATGATTTGGACAAAATGGAAGTGAAATTATTCCCTAATTTCACTCGTCACCATTTGATTACACATACAAATTTGATTTTAGGGTAAATTTGTTTACCCTACAGTTGTAGGTTGAGAATCAAGACAATACTTATTTGTATTGACTTTTAACATACACACCTTCAGGGCTTGAAATTTACAGTTGCAGTACATTTGTGCAATCTGTATACTGTATCTTAGTCTGCATGCATCAACAATGCATCTGATTAGTTCATTCTCTCAGGTGCTTTTAACTGTAATGCAACAACTATATTAAAGCACATTGAAGTAAGGTTTGGGCAAAAAGGAACAGTGTGCAAGTATGGGAACACTTCAGAACTTTAAGCGTTATGATGCTATGTCCTTCTTTTATTTCAGTCAACATCACTATATTCCACAGCAGACAAGATTATCATGTATGACCAGGTAAAGTCTGTCACTGTACTTACAGTCAAACCAGGTCATGTGTACCCCCCAAAATTACATTAATGAATATATTATTCGAAAGTGGAATCCATTGGCAGTTGTAGATTTCAGATTCATCTCCGCATTCTTGCATGCATAATGGGCGGTGAATTCACACGCGATTCAGTTATGAAATTTCTACCAGCTCAGTTTCCCTGAATTTGATGTAAATATCTTCTAAGAACTTCAATCCATTCAAAGATTTTCAATCTGACCAAATACAGAGAAGTTCTCGTAAAATATTCACTGCTCATTACGCATGGAGGAATGCCAATTTGAATTTGACACCAGTACCGGGAATGACTAACAGATACATTTTTCAAATAATCGATCATTAATAGAATCTTGGGGGGTACGCTTGACCTGCTTTGACTGTAACTGTAACGCCAACAGGTTTTGCAAGTACACTGTAGTTGTAGCAGTTTCAAATTATACATGTACATGTACTTGCAAATTTTGAACTTTCCCAATAAAAACAAAGAAGTCCAAATATAGATTGAAAGAGGATTTTGTCAAAATTTATTTTTGGAGTTGTGCTTCTTGTGGAAGTCAGACATCATTAGAACCACCTCTCTCTAACACAGACATGTTTGGGACTGGCACTACATGCAAATATGTCCATCTTAGAAAGATGTCCGTCTCATAGCACAGAGTCAAATAAAGGGAGTACATGACCAACTCCAGGTTTTTGTTTTTCCAAGGTGTCCATTTTATAGAGGTGTCTGTTAAGACAGAGTTGATTATAATACATGTAAACACAGTTAAACCTACAATGTACATTACATGTACCTACCATCTATTTAGTGACCATTCAACATCTGGAGTTCTTAGACATAACATCTACTACATGATCAACCTTTGTTAAGAAGTCACTAACTTGTCTCTTCCTTGATGGTGGCTGCTTCACTCCCAAAAGCAGCCAAAGTCAAAATTCCCCGAAATTTCCAAATTTTATCCTTTGACATGCTTAAAGGAAAGTAGTTCCAAGAGGTTTCATTTGAATAGGGACCGCTATAGGATTTTGTACGCAGACTCACAAAGTGTAACAACATCCACTCTGGCAGTCGTTAATGGCGTTTGACTGTTTTGATTTCCAAATAAAAGTACCCAAAGATGTGAATAGAGGATGTCTGTTGATTTATCCCTTGTATGATGGCTGTTACATGCACTAAAGCAAAAGGCCATGCCAGAGCCCCATCTGAACCTGCTTACTGTACATTTTTGTACACCATACCTCGTGTTCTCTTTCTGGATTTTCTTTTCAGAATCACTTGCTTGGCAGGGCATACTTCTGTCTCCTGGAAGGAGATAAAATGGAACAGGCAGATGCACAGTTCAACTTTGTGTTGGCTCAGGTAAGACAATTTTGTTGTGATTAATTTTGTCTTTTAAATGTTATTCTCACCCTACATGAACAAAGACTGCTGGCAAGTGCACGCAGGTTCATGCATTATTCTTAATGTGAGGGCATAATTACATTTATATTTAAGCAATAGACCACACTTTCTATGGGTTTACCGGCGTGATAACCCACGCAGGATGTTGGGAGAACACGAGAAAAGCTTGTAAATCACGAGCCGAAGGCGAGTGATTTACAAGCTTTTCGAGTGTTCTCCCAACATCCCAAGTGGGTTATCACGCCGGTAAACCCATAGAAAGTGTGGTCTATTGCTTTTATAAAATAACTTTTAGTAGAATGGAGTCTTTTAGGTAAAAAATATGGTTTTAGTACCGTGATCAAGTCATGTCTTCTCTCTAAAGTCATCATAAGCCAATCATGACTCACGATTTAATGGCGCTGAACTTTCTCAAAACTCAGTTCAGTCAAACAACAAACAGCAGCACTTCAAAACACGAGTTTTTGCACTCATTACATGATAAGTTATGAAAGCTGTTTTACAGGAAAAGTCAACCTTTATTCAAGCGAACGTCCAATGAAAGAATACGTTCATGGTTTGTTTACTACAGAAGTAGAAATTAATTGAACATCAGACTGTACGCAGCTGTATTTTGTTGAGTCGATCCGTAAGAATTTCGTGCCTACAGACAGAACTGGCAGCTATTGTAATGGAGGACTTCATTCACATTTTACAAGCGGCAGTGGTAAGATCTGTTTTCTGGACTTTGTTATGATCAAGAAATTCTGCGGTTACGACGTGGCTGCATTTGCGAAGTTGTCGCATGTAACTTTATGTGCACGTACAGCGACCGATGGAAATGTGTCAGTGGCGGAGAAAGGTTTCTTTGCCGTAGCCACATATTGGCGTTTATATTTGTCGATTTGTAAAGTCAGGTGGTTTGAGGTAGGTTATGGCATCGATATCACTGAATGATTTGTGCAAATGTTGGAAAAAACCAGCCCGAAAGTCTGACATCTTTCATCATCGTTGGCAGCTTGTTCACAACCTACAGCGGCCGATTTTGTACCATATCTTGATCAGAGATCTCTTTTTGGAACAATTACTTTCATTAACGAATTTAATTTTGACGTAAAATAAATCAAGAATGCTAAAACTATCCGTTTTGTTGCTGGTTGGCAAATGGTTAAGTTTTCCTGGAGACTTTCTACACCAGAAATTCACACAGTTGTTGTCTTTCTTGGCGATTTGGCATCATCGTGAAATGTAAACTGTTTTCCAGCTTTGTACTTTATAACTTCTAAAGCTATGGCAGTAATAAAATGTGGAAACCAACACTTTTGATATTAAGAAGGGCTGGGTAACTAGCTTGTTCTGTTTTTTAGCCTTTCTAAAATCATTGTTTGCAGATCAGTAGCCGGTTTTGTTTATGGCTCGTGGTCCGGAAGCCTTTTTCTATGGGTTTACCGGTATAATAAACCATAGGTTTTTGACCAATCAGATCACGCGTACTATCTCAGTTATTTTACAAATTATTGTAGTAGGGTGCTGTAGTCCTTGAGGAGGCTTATAATGTTCAGTGCTGGATCCAGACCTTGTGATAATGGGGGGGGCAGTCATCTAGACCCTTAGATAAGGGGAGGGCTCCAAAAAATTTTTTTGGCCCTTCAGGGTCCCAGTTTGGTCTAAAAATAAGGCGGAAGTATGGGCCCCCGGGCCCCTTCCGTGGATCTGCAGTCTGTTGTTTTTTATGCAGCATGATGGGTTCAGAAGTGTTGCTTAGAGTACTGTAGTGACTTAAAACTTTTTAGAGAGTGATAAACATCAATTTTCTCCTAACAATGTCAGATCAAAGGAAAAGGCAGGGATGTTGCTAAGAGCTGGCTGCCACCTAATTTCACCGGCTGAAAAAGAGCTCAAATTGCAAATGAAAACAAAGACAGGGGAATTTTAGAGATGATTAAAAATGCCGGCTTGACTAATAAAAAAGCCTGTTCACCTTTTCCTTAGTTACGTCCCTGTTAAGGTACCGGTAATGAGAATAAATAAAATGATCATCTAAAGTGATTTTGTTACAAATAGTTATGGTGAGTCCTGGGACTCATCTTGTGAAAAATCATGAGTCCCTGTCAATAACCAATGAGTCTCAGTTAAAAAATCAAGGAGTCCTAAATTGAAATGCTTGGGCCTTTACGTAACCAGACAGTTAATCTGAAGACCGACTCCAAAACTCTGTATTTCAGTATACTGAAATTAAAATATAGTCCTTCTATTTTAAAGCACAACAAAGGCTAAAAGAAAAATGCATCATTCAACAACAGCCATAATAACTGCCACAGACATGACACAAACTGAATATTTCTACAAATACACATGTTCAGATTGATTGATCGATCTTTGCGTCCTACAGGACCCATGCCATGAATTATTTTGCGTCTTTCAAGCAGCTGTTGTACTCATGCTTACATGACTGTGTTATAACTATCATTTTTGTTCTTTTTGTGTAAACAACAGTCAGGAAACAACATCCCAGCTTTGTTAGGTAGGTAACAAAATACCTTCTGCACCATCTTTTTTCTTAGTGGAAATAAAGCTGGCTGATTAGAGGTTCAATTTTTTCTTTCTGAAATTAGATTGTTTCTTCTTCCTGAGCATGTTAATTCCTTGCAAAGCAAGGTTTGTAAATTTCATGGAAATCCATGTTACAGGTTGTACATGGGGATTGTGCACTGACCTCTTAACCCTTTAAGCCCCAATAGTGACCTACATCCCATTTCTCCCAAAAATAACACTTCCTGATCAAACAGACAGGTCATGAGAAGGAAGGAAATGATCAGCAAAGATAAAATGTTGTGATGTTAGAACAAATAATTCTCTCAAGCAGTACCATAAGGAATGTATGAAGAACAGTGTAGAGAAGATGCATGTTGATGCTGGGGCTCAAAGCGTTAAGTAGTACAGTAAAATTATGGACAACCAAAACTGCATGGAAATATTCAGATGCTGTAATTTTTATTTATTATCACGAGAAGAAATGGCACTGTTTTGGGCAGATTGTGACCAGAAATGGGCTTGACTAGCTTCAAATAGCATTTTTAACAAAAAATTGAGAATGAGTTACAAGTTACAAGCATGATTGTCTTCACAAAAATGTTTTGTATTACTTGCAGGAAAAGCCTGTATATCATTTAACAAGAGGGACTACAAGGGATCTGTTGCATATTACAAAAAGGCATTGAGAACAAATCCAAATTGTCCAGGTAGGGATTGTCTGATACAGTTTACAGTACATGTAAATAAATAAGAGAAATTTTTAGGCTAGTGATGTGAAAATGAGAGATCTGCTGGTTATCAATACTGACCATGTGTCGAATATATTCCTAGTATAAAATTGTACACCATAGCCTGTATGTCACAGATGTAATTCAACCTCGGTTGGTAATGAAGCAGGGCTGAAATCCTTTTTCTAGGCCTCCAACAGACTCAACAAATTACCAGAAAAGTGTTTCAAATTTCCTTTCAACCTGACTGGCAAATCGACAATGGCTTTTTAACAGGCCAATCATGGTGCATACTCAAATCCTGGTACACAGGTGGGGCCCAGAACATGGATTTCAGCGCTGTTTCCTAGACGGACTTAACCAGAGTTAAAAAGTACGAAAAATGTACAGCTGTAGTTTCATCTGTGGTGCAGGTTACAGCTGTATGTACACCACAGCACTGTGACAGCTCTATGAAAATATTATACTTTTGTGCGCTCAGATCTTGTTCCACAATAATATTTTGCTACAAGTATGCTGAAGAATGTCATTTGTTATACCAGCGGATGTTTGTTGTTATAATATTATACAGTACCACTCAAAAGTAAGTTACCAGTCGCGTCTTGTTTCCCGTGGATGAGAATTGCATCGCACACTACGGGATTCTCGTGGCATGCTATTAGAATTGCATAGCGAGAGAATCATTGAAGCAGCAATTTTTGGCATAATCCAGCGAGAAATCAGCAAAATTTTCACCTAGGGGTACCTCAAAGACTGAGGAAAACAGGCATTAGGTTTTGCACTAAGTTTCTCTTGAGAAGCTTTGTGTTAAATTGTCATTAGCACACTGTTTAGTTTTTGGATTTTAGTGATTGATATTTGCCACTGCATTTAATCATGACATTTGTTTGCCGAAAGATCGCACACAATGCGATTCGCGTCTTGCGAGAGGGTGGCAACTTACATTGTGTTGGTTTTTTTGATTTGTGCTGGTTTGAGTATTGTACAGTAAGGGTTTTATGGTATTTAACTTTGAAAATGCTGATACAAAGATACACCCATTACATGCACATGACTAGCTCTTCATGTTATCCCACAGCATCTGTCCGGTTAGGAATGGGGCACTGCTTTGTTAAGCTTGGCAAAATGGATAAAGCAAGGTAAGAAATATCTATTTAAAATATGGACTGACAGTGTATTATCTACATGCCTGTGTGCATAAATATTTGTGACCTCTCACACGAAAACGTAAGGAACTTTTTCTCATGAGAGGTCACATTTTTCATCAGAAGAATATGTTTCCAATAATAAATGATGACTCTAAAAAAGAACTAGTTGTTGCTTTAGAACAAATCAACTACAGTAAAACCTCTATTAAGCAGACACCTTCGGGACCTTCCCAAGTGTCCACTTAATAGAGGGTGTCCACGTAATAGAAGTTGTAAAAATTGCGCCATGTTTGTTAACGATTGACATTTATGGGTTACTCTGTACTGTGATAAAGTTGCATGTTGTTAAAGAAGCTATCAGAGTTTAAGTTCATTACCTTTCATTACCAACTTTAATTTGTTTGTAAATGCAAAAACATCAACTGACCTCAGTTCTTATGTCAAGCACATATTCCAACACTACTATTGTCAATTCAGTCCGGTGTCCACTTAAGAGGGGTTTTTAACAATAGAAATTAGTCAAATACAACTTATTTTAGTGTCCGGGTCCACTGAATAGGGGTTTGTTATAAAGGGAAATATCAGACGTTCATTTTGGGACCCGGCTTAGTGTCTGCCTAATAGAGGCTAGCCACTCAATTGGGGGTCTGCTTAAAACAGGTTTCACTGTATATAATACCTGTAAGAAGAGTTTGCAACAAAATGTGTCCATGATTTTTAAACTGAGTAACTACAATGTATGCATGTAAGATGTGTCAGCATGCAGGCTGGGTGAAGATGGAGTACATTTAGTATCACACTTAAAATGCTCGTCCTTAGAAGATCAGAACCTGGGAGTCTGACCTCTGATCTTTGACTGACTGTTGTTCCCTAAGCAGGAAGATTTACCTCATTGTATCAGTCGCTTAATGCTGGGCAATCATAGATGCATGCCTGTTAGATATAAGAACCATGATCTAATACTGCTTCTGTTACCCTTCCAGGTTGGCTTTCGAGAGAGCTCTTAGTTTAGATCCACATTGTACAGGAGCAATGACAGGGCTTGCTATCCTTGAATTGAACTCAAAAAAGGTAGGAGTGGTTCGTTTAGCATTCATTTCCTACCATCTCTTACTGAAATCAGAAAAAAATTATCTTGGGTTCTGTTCTGTCCCAAGTAGAAGGGTCACCCTTCCTTCTGGTTGGTCAAGCCAAAGTGTTTATATGCAGAAAAGTTGTTGCCCACCTGGAATAACTCTGTTAATTGTTGGGGACATAGTCCTAAATTATTTGCAAATCAAATAAACATTTGTTGTTGTCGTTGCTATAGTAGGGTGACTGGTGATCTGGCTAGGCAAGTTACCCTTCTAGCTAAGCCAAAGTTTTGTTTCTCATGTACACTAAATGGTTTGCCATGTTTTGTAAGGAAATGTACATGTATGAAAAGTTGGCTCGCCAAGAGTAGCTCGTGTAGGCGGGTGACCCTTTTATCTCGGGCAACTTTCCTCCATAATTATAATTGGGACCTTAGTTAACTACATGTAGCAGAGATTCCAACCCTCCCAATCTGGCCTGAAACCTCCCATTTTTGGCAAATATTTCTGGCCTCCTGTTTTCGCTGAATATTCTCCCAGTTTCTGAAACTTTTCCTAGCTAAAGAAATATGTTTTCTTTTTTTAACCAGTCTTTTTAGAATGAATCTTTGCCATTTTTCTGTGGTTGCTAAGCCATTTTTTATACCTTTTGGCATCCAAGCATGAGACTGCGATAATTTTGGGTGTGGTTGCGCATTGACTTTGAACTCAAAATGCAGGAAATGGCATCTTAGAGGCACATATCATAAAATGGAGAGGCTCAAGGGAGCAGATATGCTGCTCCTAAAACCTCCCTTTCTTTAGTTGACAGGGTTGGAAACTCTGATGTAGGTATATTGTGTCTAGCTTATTACAGTATTATGACTGCATGTTTAAATCTTTGTTTTATCATAGGTGGACTCTATTAAAAATGGGGTTCAACTGTTGTCAAGAGCATATACACTGGACAGCTCTAATCCTATGGTTCTCAATCATCTGGCAAACCATTTCTTTTTTAAGAAGGTACATGTAAACAGTATGGTGCATACTCTTACAACGAATCAGTCGCTTTGTAGTTTGAAGAAAAGGATGTTCGATATTTACACTCACAATACACTCTATCTTATGTCCTCCCAGCCAGTTGGGTATAGGGTGATACTTATGTGTATCATATGTGTAGGGGAGCGGGGCAAAGGGTGGTTAAGGTTGGGGGGGAAGGGTTGTCTATTTTATGGTATTCTGTTTGGTTCTTGGGGCAGGATATCAACAGGGACATTGTCCTGTCTCCTGCTCCAGTTGCATTATTTATTTATTAATTCATTTTTATTTTACTTTTTTTCTTTATCTAATGTATTTTATATTTTTATGTACCTATTAACTGATAACATGCAACAAATTCAATAAAGTAAAGTAATGTACTTGCTCAGCAAGAAAATCTACTTGTCCCAGACTACCGCAGGGGATTTTCTGTGAGCCCTGCTCTTACCTCCATGAATGATCATCTTAGAGAACTTAGTTAACTGTTCAACAATATTCTCTGACAGGAATATAACAAAGTCCAGCATTTGGCTCTTCATGCATTTCATGGTACTGAAGTAGAGGCCATGCAGGCAGAGAGTTGCTATCAAATAGCTAGAGCCTTTCATGTCCAAGTAAGTTGTTCCAACTTCCTATGACCACTTTCCAGTTCCCATTGACAGCATTGACATCAGTGGACAGCACTAGATATCTCCATGAGCTTCTGTCAAACATAATAATTTTCAATTGCTGTGGTGAATTCCAGTCACAAGCTATCAAAGCTGATCAAGTGGGGATTTTCCCTAGCTTTCTCGAAAAAATCCAGATTATATGGCTGCTTGTTGTGTTAAGCCCTGTGGCAAAAAAATCAAAACAAAATAAAACAAAAAACATCAAGACAAGTTACTTCTTATGTTTGTGATATGGTCCCTTGAGGGAGGGTAGTCTGCAGTAATGTTTTGTTTCTGCCCAGTTTGATTAAACTCATTATCTTGCAAGTGAAATAAAAATTATTATTTTGGTATGTTTCTTCATGGTTGTGCTGTTCAATTTAAGGGTGATTATGACCAGGCATTTCAGTACTACTATCAAGCCACACAGTTTGCATCACCTAACTTCATTCTTCCTCATTTTGGTCTTGGACAAATGTACATTGCAAGAGGCGACACAAACAATGTGAGTATAACCTGAAATAGATTTACAGTGGAACTTTGTTAATGTGACCACCATTTGGCCATAAAATCCTGGTCATAATAACAAGGTGGTCACATTGACAGGGTCTTCAAAATAATAAAAGACTCTGTCAGTGATCTTGAAGTTAGGATTGAAAGGATATGGTCCTAATAACGAGGTGGTCTTATAAGTGGGGTGGTTGTAAGGTGGATTTCCAGTGTACATAATTATCATCAAGTTGAACCTTTATTAATTAAGTGAACACCCTCTACTTAGCCAGCCAGTTAGAAGATGCAAAAAAGTGAGATTTGGGCAAGCTGTAACTGGCATGTATTAGCTTAAGAGTTGTTTTAACAAGCCCCCCCCAAAAATTTTGATGAGCATGATTGATTACAGTTCTTCTGTAATTTAAATTCCCCCAAAAACTTCACTTGCCCATTGGGCAATTTAAGAACAGAATTCAATATCCTAATAAATGTAGCAAAATCCACTAGCCCAGGACTATCAGACATGCCTTTCTTTGCACACTGAGTTACCTGAGTCTTGGTGAACAAGATTGTCAGTAATTACACATAACTGTAAGCAATGCCTTTAAGAGGCCAACCTTTTATAAGCGGCAGCTTATTTGCCCCTTCACCCAAGGGTGCTAGTTCAACTGTACAATAGTGTTCAACTTCTACATCTTGCCTCTTCCTGCATTTTTAATATTTTGTTTGTCCTGTTAAATTTTTTCGCACAGGCTGCCCAGTGTTTTGAGAAGGTCCTGAAAGCAACACCTGGTAACTACGAGACACTTAAAATCTTAGGATCCCTGTACAGTACATCAACAGACCTGGACAAAAGAGAAACTGCCAAGGTGAGAACTTATCTAAATGGGTACGTAATATAAAAAGCATTGTACTGCTGAATCTTCTATAAACTTACATGTTCACTCTATCATAGTGGTCTTCAGTCAAGAGTATTAGATTTTCTTGTGGCTTGGACACCTGTTACAACATTGTGCACAACCATTCATGTTATAATCTGGAACCTGTCCAGCCCTGAACAAACTATTCCAGAACTATTGCAGATGTTACAGCTCTACAGTATTGAAGTTGTGACTCAGTGATGATCTCAAGTTGAATTCTCCCTGTTTCACAAATGAACATAATGCGGTATGAAAAGAGAATCTGGCATCATCATCATCATTATTAGCTTCTTTTCCCCAGTGTGGACAAGGATCCTGTTTCTTTTTTCATTGAGGGGTGATTTGCTCCTGACTAAACCTTAAACTGGGTTGTCCTTAGTCTGACCTTTCACTGTTAACCAGTCTGGCATGGTAAAACCAATCAGGGATGAAACCCTGCTGGCATAGCTCATGGAATCATTTTAACTTGCAAGCTTCACCATCACAAGAAGGTGACAAGCCCGAGTGGAGAGGACAAGATAGCACTTAACCGGAGTTCATGAAGGGCTTTATGAATTGATTTTTCCAGTCCTTACTGTGCAAAATGGTATCAGGGTGGACGAAGGCTACTGCATGCAATATCACATACAGTATTTCAAGTAATTTGCATGTACATTGTACCTTACATCTGAGCCAATATAACATTTGTTGCACCCCCTTGAAAACAGAGAACATAACGTTTTGTGTTAATGATATATGAAATAAATCTTATATGAACTGCGGAAATGAAATGAAAATGAAGAGATGATCGTCGCAGTGAACGCAATTTATGCAATTGCGTAAAGAAGCCTGAAAAAAATTCAGGACTAGTTCTGAATTTTTTTTTTTTTTCAGGCTTCTTTACGGAATTGCATAAATTGCGTTCACTGCGACGAGCATTTCTTCATTTTCATAACGTTTTGTTTTGGAAGAGATTAATGGCTTGTCAGACAAATGAAGTCGAGGCAATGCCTCAGTCCACACAATTTGGGATTCTGCAATTTGTAAAGGGTATTAAAGGACACTTAGCATTTTAAAATGAATCTGATTTACCTTTTTATCCCTGTTGATTTAATGTCTTCCCCAATTAATGAATCCTTACTTGTTTAAAATTTTGGGAAGAGATTCTGCCTTGTTTTATTCAGAAGAAAAACAGTGTTGTTCGAAGGCCTATTAGCGCTAACCCTGGGTTAAACTGTAATCTGGGTTTCTTTTTCTTTTGTTCAAAAGCATTTTCTCAGAAACTTTTCCCCATTTTTTTTAGAGCATCCAGTCACCAAATTGTAATCAAAAAAAGAACTAAACTGAATTTACCTTTAAAACTTTCAAATATCAATTTAAATTTCGCACAAACCCAGGATTATCTAAACCCAACTTTCAACAACCCAGCCAGGTTGATCCGAAAGTGAACTTTTTAATACTTTATTCTATTTTGAAAAGAACCATCTGAAGAAAGTGACAGAAGAGTACCCAGATGATGTTGAAGCCTGGATAGAGTTGGCTGGAATATTGGAACAGTCAGATGTACAGGTACATCAACCTTACTCGGGTGTTTTAGACCTGGCGGTGGTGGGGGGTACTCAACAAAGTTTTATACAGGGAGACTCCACCCCAAGGCCCAACTCCTTACCCTTTTTTATAATAATAATAATAATAATAATAATAATAATAGTAATAATAATAATTGACACATACAGTGCAATTTCCATAAAAATGGTGGATTGTGCTTCACATCCTTTCACATCCATAAAATGTGTCTGTTGGCCCTTTTCGACCCCTTTACAAACCAAAATGACAGATTTCCCTACCGTTTTATATACTCAACTTGTAAAATCCCAACCCTTTCATATACCTGAAGCCTGGAAAAGGTACCCATTTTGGGCGGAGCCTCCTCGTATAGGCCATTTTTATATTCCTAGACTTAAATCCTTTTTTTGTGGAACTTGTGGCTAGTAAGATACACTGTAATTATTATTGGACTGTTTTTGCAGTCTGCCTTGCAAGCCTATGGTACCGCATCCCGTCTTCTGAAGGAGAAGGTAAAGGCTGATGTACCCCCAGAGATTCTCAACAATGTGGGCGCACTTCATTTTAGACTTGGAAATCTAAATGAAGCCAAGGTAAAAGACCAGTAAACTACAATTGGCGACAAAATGGTTGAGACATTCTACTCAAATAGGAGAACTTCAGAGAGCAAAAGAATCCACACCCCTCCCCTGTCCCCTCCATTCAAAGTTGGGGTGTTTGTTGTTTTCTGTAGGTAGCTTGAACAGCAGCACAACATTGCGTGGAGGGGATGGGAAGGAACAGCTTATTTTCCCCTTGTGAAGTCAGGAAAATGTCAAAAAGCCCTTTTAGGGTGAAGTGTCTCAACGCATTTTGTCGCCAATTGTAGTAATGTTGGAATGATAATTTAAAGAGAATTAGATGATTTTGTTGATCCTTTTCTCCCAGTGGTATAGGGTTTTAGAAGGGGCAATCCTGATGTCTTTGCAAGCAGTATGTTTCTTCTATTCATTAACAGTTTCATTGATATAGTTTTATTTATAAGTAGATTCTTTGCTGTTTACAGTATTGGTATACTATTACCTTAAAGCACTCTTTATATAGCCTTATTTATCTACCTTTTAACGGCATGTAAATGTTCTTATTTTCAGAGGTTCTATGAGTCATCTCTTGAGAGATGCAAGCAGGAGAGCCAAGCTGATGAGAGTTATTACAATGCCATATCTGTCACCACAACTTACAACTTATCTCGCCTGCACGAGGCCATGTGTGAGTTTGACAAAGCAGAAGCACTGTACAAGAACATTCTCAGGGAACATCCTAACTACGTAGACTGTAAGTACCTTGACCAGCATAGTTTAGAACGAGAGTAAAGCCCCGTGCAAACGGATGCAACGTTAGGGACCTTACGAAACTACGACTGTAACGGCAACGGGAACGTAAAAAAGCAGTGGGTTAATGAGCAAAACAACAACTCTGCTCGTGCATCACGCTTTTTTGTACATTTATTTGCCGTCCCTACACAAACTACGACGCGAAATGATCAAATTTTAAGTTTTTTTTGAGGACGGGAACGGCAAGGCGATAAATTCTACCATCTCTGTCTGAACTGGGGCGCGGTCCCCTCTATTCAGTTCCAACATAAATTCCTTTCTTTTAAGTAACAGGACGACTTGGGAAAATCGCGAAATGGAAGGATGCACAGCTGTAGAGTCTATTTTTTCAGTGACGTTTTCGTGGACGTTTTAGATGTTCCCGTTGCCGTAGCCGTCGTAGTTTTGTAAGACTCCTAGTAAATTTTGACGGCATAAGTTCCTGTTCAAACATTTTGAGATCAAAAGACTTCATGGAACTGTTTAGTATTTGCTGTGGTTGAGTAATAATTTTATATTCTTAACACTTTACATTTGCAAAGAAAATATAGTGGGATTTCTGTTGTAAACCAATTTTTAAAACTGACTTCTGTTACTTTAAGGAGTAGCCTAGATTTAGCGATATTCGTGGCTTTTGAGCTTTTGATGTGGTGTAAATAATTCCATGATTTTTAATTGTATAAATGTTCCCATTTTAATTTTTTTTCCTTTTTTTTTCCGTTTAGGCTATCTTCGACTTGGTTGCATGGCACGTGACAGAGGACAAATTTACGAAGCATCTGATTGGTTCAAGGAAGCCCTTCAAATTAATCAGGTATTCTATGATTCAATGCAGTTAACAACAAGTAGCACCATCTCTTGTTGTTGCTCAGCGGTCAGTTTGGTGGCTCGAGAGCGGTCAGCACAGCGTTTCCCGGCGGACACTCGCTTCGTTTGGCCTTTAGATTGTGCATTTACAGTGTACCTCCACCCCTCCCTTCCTTATATTTTTCCACTGATAAATCAGTATGACAGGTGCCTCCTCCCATTGGCGTAGGGGTTGATGGCTGGAAGGCGCGGGTTTACCAGCCATGGGGGCGTAACTCTATCTAGTGGCTGGACATTCCAGACATCCACCTTCACCGGGCGATACAGTTGTTAACCAAGATACAGTTTGTTATACCAATCTTGCTTCCAGACTCGCTTTTTTTGTCAGTTGTGGGGAGAAAAAAGACTTAGCAACGAACAATGTGGTGGTGCTTTAATCAAAAAGTTTTCTGACGTCATGACCGTTTTACGGTAGTCGTCTGGGCAAATTTCCGTCATTGTGGTTAACTGGTGTACCAATGATTAGAGAGTTGAGAGAAATATCTTTATTCTCTGAGCGGTCAGGGATTAAAAAGTTTCGTTGATAAACAGTGCGTCATGTTAAAACTGCATGTTGGATTGTCTGTCTCGGGTTCTGTAACTTTCCTTCCTCTGAAATACTCTCAAAAAGTGAAAGTTGTGAATTGTAGTATCATTGGTGACGAATTTCTCGTTGATTATGGCGCGAAATTTCAGCGTTAATTTGTAATTTCACAAGTGAAATTATAAAATTGCCATGGCAACCTTCTGTACGTCTCAGTGCTAAGGTGGAGACGAAGTTTTAAGACTATGAATGAAGATGTCAGGGCATTAAAGGACTCTCTAGAAAACCTAAGCACACGAAAGAGCACATCAAGAAGGATTCTAACAGGTATTTTGTCGAAGAATTCAGAAAAATCTGAAGTTAAGCCAAATTTAACCTCTTAACCTTTTGAGAGAGTGGAGTTGTCGATTGATACGATCCAGGATAAACATGTCAAAAATCCACGATTGTGAGCGTAATTCGTCACCCTTAATATTAATAGGTAATCAAATGGTATACTCGTGAAATTAGGACAAACCCTGCTGCTCTCGTCCCCCAGAGAATTCCCCATTCCAGAAACTTCAAGGGGAATGGGTACAAGCTTTCGCCGCAACAATTTCTGGGATGGTTTGGGTTGACAAGCGGTACTTATTTAACAATAAATGAATAAGGCTGAGTATCTTATGAAGAACTATGCAGATCGAGGAGGGTGTTATCCGTCGAGGCCGTAGGCTGAGGCGGATAACACCCTCCGAGATCTCCATAATTCTTCATATGATACGAAAGCCGAATTCAATAATTGTTTTATTATTCATTCAAAATGATTCCTAGTGTAAAAACATAGCTAAAACATGCTTACCTCCGTCGATCCATCGATGTTAAGTTCATCTTCGATAGTGCACGTTTAGGTTTGTCCAGCTCCGCAAATATCCTCCAAATAGCAGATGTCGCCCTCCGAGTTGTCTTCTTGGTGTTCTTGCCATGTTTTTACCTATTATTTCGCCTAGTTCTTACTCTTGGAACGAGTGAAACGTCTGCCATTTTTGTTTTCACAACCAAAACAACTCAACCTCGTCCCCAGGTCTTCTCGGTTAACGCTGCATTAACCTACAAGAAAGCTGCACTTTTGACGTCATCGGTGCATTAAACGCAAATTCTTCCAAATCTGGTCATCAGTAGCTGGTTATGGTGAATTATGCGTGTGCCTTCAGCCAATCAGAATCGGGGAAATATTTTGAATGAATAATAATTAACAATTAATGAATGAGGCTTAGTATCTCATAAAGAATGCCTTGAATACCATCGACCAATCATAAATGATGCTTGTCCACCCAAACTATCCCAGAAATCACTGCACCCTAAGCTTGTACCCATTCTCCTTAGAGTTTCTGTAGAAGGGGATTGTAAGAGCCAAAAATGTTATTATTTCCTTTAAGTAACAACCCTTTTTAATCAAACCGTTCAATAAGAAAGGTTTTCGATCAAAACATAATGTTTGAATGACTGCTAGCCAGCAGTATCAAGTATGAATTTAAGAGGTGAGCGAGTTTTCAGCTGTGGTCGCTTATTCCTTATGGAAAACATTTCTGATTTTTCAAGTGCGACCCCATTCGTGCAAACTACTACAACTGTAATTGTTTAATCTCAGTGATCATTACTTAGTGCTAATAGTTTTGCTTATTCTTTTTCACATTATTATTGATATTTTCCCACAGTTTTTGACATTCTCCTATTTCGAGCTATTCGAACACAATCGTGATTTTTTAAATTCAAACTTGACAATGATGGCAAGCAGTTGTTGCGGGCGACAAGAGGAGCCCCCAATCCTTATCTCCAGGTTGTTATTGCGCATGCGTTGCATGTATGGAGCGAGCATTCGTTTGGACTTCCACGGAGAATGAATGGAATGCACAGAACGCAATCTGATCACGCGTGTTTTGACTAACTGTCACATTAAACTTACGCAAAACACAGCGAACGAATAAAAGCGTTTTGACCTTCGATCGTTGTCGCCCGCACTCTGTAACCTTTGTTTATTACCAGTAATACTCTGTTTTTCACTTCCAACTTGTCATGAAAAAAAGTTGAGGCCCCTTGGTCAGCCACTTTACATCTTGCCTGTTTTCCGTTCAACAGGATCATCCAGACGCGTGGTCACTGATTGGGAATCTTCATTTGGCCAAGCAGGAGTGGGGGCCTGGGCAGAAGAAATTTGAGCGAATCTTGAAGCAACCTTCAACAGCCAACGATGCGTATTCGCTATTGGCGCTAGGGAATGTATGGCTACAAACACTACACACCCCTACACGAGACAGATCCAAAGAGAAAAGACATCAGGACAGAGCACTGGCTTTGTATAAACAAGTGCTGAGAAATGATTCCAGAAATTTGTATGCAGCGAATGGAATTGGTTAGTGGTGCATGATTCGTTGCTTGTACGTTGCTTTTATTAACGAAGTTGCAACACTCCCCACTTAAATAGAAATACGTATATCGCAGAATGTAATGCAGTATTTAGTTAAGGCTCAATTGTTCAAATCTTCGGCGAAGTGGTTGCCTCCCACCAGTTGGGGTTTTTAATCCTGGTATGTTTTTTTGGACTGATTATTCCTTTCAAATGTTTTTCGCGGAGTGCCCGTAAAGTATCTAAGTATCTTTTACAGCAAATTTCTTTTCTTACTCCAACGTCATATGGAGCTAAAAAAACTGATTTAAAGATAAATTGCATTAACTGCTTTCTGAATTGAAAAAAATAGGTAGTCAACTTAATTTAAAACTTTTAAAACTTTTATGAGGTCGGCTAACGTTAATGGGCTAATGTATTTTGATAAATGAGCATTTCCTCAACCTCAACATGTATGATCATTCTGCTAGGACCGAAATACTATATAACTCTATTCATGCAATTGAAAAGGTATCGACCATAATTTATTACAGGCAACAGAGCTCTTAGGAAGTCAGAAATTGTTGTTGATTGTACGCAGCTGTTTTTTTTTCCTTCAGGGTGTATTCTTGCTCATAAGAACTTTTTACGGGAGGCTCGCGATGTTTTTTCTCAGGTAATTAATAATGGTAAAAGAACTGAGTGGAGTCCAATTTGGCTGTAATAGAGGGAAGTGTAACGTCACGTTACCGGGGTAGCAAAATTTCCGGATGACAACAATAGGGAGTTTTTGCAACGGTGACGGCGAACAGCAAAAAAACATTTCACGTGCCCGCTTTATGGAGTAGGTGCGCACAACACAAAAATTTTGTTTTCCTTTTTCCAAACTTACATACGATCCCCTCGGATTTAACCAAGAAAATTTCCCCAACATTTGACAAATTAAATGAAATTAAATAAGGTCGATGAAGTTTGATACAGTGCGAATCCACTTGTAAGTGACGTTTTGGTTTGTTGTCATCCAAAAATGTTGCTACCATGGCAACGTGACGTAACGACTCCTCCTCGTCTCTATTATACGAATGATTAACAAAATCAGACGACCGCATACCGGGAGTCCAATTTGATTACAGAGCGAATTGGACGACACAAAGTTCTGTTACTAATTAATCATAACCATAAGAAAATTTGAGATATTCTAAGCTTTTCTAAACTTAAAGCACAGGCTATTCTTAGAGTTTTTTGCTAGAAGTGAAAATAAAACCACTTTCAATTGCTACAGTTGATAGCCAATCAGAATTGAGTATTTTGTTATAGTCATGATTATTACAAGAAATGATGAGTTGTAACTACAGCATATGGGCATCAGGACAAACACTCTCTCGAGTTTTTGATATAACAGCGTCTCGAATGATCAGAAGTTCTTGAAAAAATTCGCCAAATTTTATGGTTATGAAGATCCTATTTTCAACTTCACAATATATAGCCCTTTTCATGACCACCATGACTCTAAATTTTGAGTATTTCAGGTTTTCTCTTAGACTTTTCTTTTCTTTTTCTTATTCGCATCGTATTCACAGGTCCGTGAAGCAACTGCGGACATTCCTGATGTTTGGCTTAATCTGGCTCATATTTATGTGGAGCAAAAGCAGTACGTGGCGGCTATCCAGATGGTAGGACTCGTCTTCAGATCGCTTTTCAGCTAGTCCAGAATGTAGTTTCTAAGTGTGAACAGTATGTGGCGGCTATCCAGGCCCTGATTCTACAAAGGTTGGATAGTGTTACCCTCGGGATAAATCACTATCTAGAGAAAAAGTATGATTTGCCTTATTCACTAGATTGTGATTTATCCAGTGGGGTCTTTATTCATCTTTTGAATTACTGGGGCTTGATGTACAGACTCTTGTGTACCCTACCTCTCAGCAAATCCCTAGTCAAACAAAAAAAAAATACGCTCACACTATGTCTCAGTGTAAACAGTATATTTAGCCTGGTTAGATTGTAGGATTCCCCGTGTTTAGATGATACATCAGCTAACCCATACTCAAACAAGGTGCAAACTGTTGTACTGCATCTAAGTGTGAACGTGTGTCAGAAAAATAGATTTTTTTTTGTACCAAAGTTTAAGCCTGGAGCCCTAACGTTTTTTCTCGATTTGTGATTTGTGATCTTTTGAGTTCTTGTCTATTTGATCATATGTAGTTGAATACAAGTGAAGTTGTTTTGTAGTGACACATCAGATGTTTTATCATTCGCTTGCAGTACGAGAACTGCCTGAGAAAGTTCTTCAAGCATCACAATGTTGAAGTGTTGCTATACCTGGCCCGTGCTTATTTCAAAGCAGGAAAAATGAAAGAGTGTAAACAAGTGTTACTCAAGGCTCGCCATATTGCTCCAAATGACACTGTCATGTTGTTTAACATCTCCCTGGTGCAACAGCGCCTTGCGACAGCCATTTTAAAAGCCGAAAAGAGCCCCCTTAAGGTCGTGCTTGGTGCCGTCAGAGAACTGGAACAAGCTCAAAGGTAACTGGGACAAATTTGGGAAGTTGTATGTAATTCAGTTAGTTTTGGTTACCAAGTGATCGTGGTAAAGCTGCAATAACAGGAAATCATTGGACAATGTCGCACAAAAAAACTTAATCTCTATTTTGGTTGGACCTTGTTCCTGATCGAATTTTACCGTGCATAATCTAGAGGTTCCATACTGGAAGTGAAGTGCTGCCAGGAGCCCATAACCCGTTCGACTGGGAAATCCGGATTTCGGATTTTGCAATCGAACGCGAGATCCGAGAACGGATTTCACCTCCAAGAAATCCGTCCTCAGGGTGGATTGCAATTAAGAAATTCACATCGGGATTTCATGGATTTCCTTTTTACCGTTCGATGGTGAAATCCGAAAAAGGATTTGCAAAATTATTCTCGTGAACAGCGGTCTTCTTTTGGCTAATTATGCGTGCGCGTGCAAGACCGCTGTTCTTAAGGACAGTTTTTCAAACCCTTTTTCGGATTTCTCAATCGAACGGTTAAAAAAAATCCGAACACATACATCTCGGGTTGCGTTCGATTGGGAAATCTGGATTTAGATTTTAAAATCCGAATTTCGGATTTGCGATCGAACGCGAAATCCGAAAAAGGATTTCAACGCCGAGGTTGCGTTCATTTGGGAAATCCGGGTTTATCAGTTGATTGCGCAACGTTCATGTAATCAATCCACTTTTCGTATTAGTACATGATTTTTTTTTTCATACGCCGTAAGTCCCATTTTAGATTAGTATTTTTTGTAGTGAAACTTCCTTGCTTTTGCGAACTTTCGGAAAATGCTCATGATTGAAATGACAATATAATTTTAAAGATTTGAAGGCAGTCATTTATGAGAAAATAGTGCGTTGCTTATCAGAGTACATTAGTGACTAGGATGTGGAGGATCGTCGTAAGCTGGCTTTTATAATAGATCAATGAACACATTCGCTGACGTTTGAGTCAGAATAGTGTTTGAATATTGTGAGGGGTAATCATGTTTTGATGTTGTATTTCAGGAACTTTACTTGGCTGAGTCACAATGGTGATCGTATGAAATTTGACCTGAGTTGGGCTGCGTCAGAGGCCAGGTATTTGTCAGTGTTTTTAAGTCCAAACACTTTATGCTACTTACGAACGAATTCGAGGGCAATGTCAATCTAAACTTTCGCGAAAACCACACACCCCTATAAGGTGGAGGATTCGCTAAGGAAGGCTTTACTCTTTGACTGGACGAGGCCGCCAAGCCGCCTATGAGTGACAATACTCTCTCGGTATAAGGTAGACAGCTATCTTAGGCGGACCACTAGAACTCGGCATCCGGCCAAGAAATAGCCTCCTACGCAGACGTTCTTGACGCAAACGTCGTCGCGCATTCCTGCGTTGACGACTCGGACTGTTGGAGGCTAGAACTGATCCCGAGGGTATTCCGTTTTGATTCAGTTCTTTGTAGGCGAAAAACTTTGATAGTTCGTAAAGAGAAGGTTGTGGGTCTCTTCCTGTCGCTCTCTCTCCACCCTCCTCCCCCTCCTCCTGCTCTTCTGACTGTATCTAAGACAGAACTAAGATCTTTTTGTTGGACACGCAAATTACTTTTTCTTAAACTTGGTGATACAAGTTGTAAAAGTTTTCTTGAGTCATTTTCACCCCCTGTGTGACGCAATATTAAAAGAAGAGAAACGTAGGTTCTCCAGGCTGTATGGTCAGAGTTGCTTCGTTCCCTCTCAGTTTCTCGTTTTACACTGTGTTTGTTTTGCACAGGCACACATCGGATTTGCTGAGTCAGGCGCAGTACCATGTGTCACGTGCTCGTAAGGTGGACGAGGAGGAACAGCAAGTCCGGCGGAAGCAGGAAGAGGAGAAAGAAGCTCTCAGGAAAAAAAGGGAAGAAGAGGAGGTAAGACCCTTATTTATTCCTCCTTCCTCAATAGACCTTATTCACGATGCTCACAATCTTTGCACGCGCTCAAGGACTGATGGGATAAAAGCAATGTCACGTGGTTTTTCAGGGGGCAAAAATGTGAAAATAATTGCCAATGGAATAAATCGCGGTTGAGTTTCTTTTATTCTAGACAGCAGGAAATGAAGCCCTTTTTATCTTAAAGACGATAATGTCAAACAAGTATGGGTGGAAGTGATCATTGTTTCTTTTTTGTAAGTAGTAGCGACCGCTTGTAGCGACCGTAGACGTCCTCATGGCAAACAGTAATGACGTAAATCGTGCCAAAACTCGATACGTACGTTTTGCATGACCATGAAATCGTCGTCTCGTCTTGATAGAATAAAGAAACTCAACCGTGATTACTCGTACTGGCAAATTGTCACTTGTTTGCCCCCTGAAAACTCACGTGACATAGCTTTTCTCCCATCGATCCTAGAGCGCGTGCAAAGATGGCGGGCATCGTGAATAATTCCTTCAATGGTATTTCAATTATAAAGTGCGCGGATATATGGCGGAATATATAATTGTTCATTCACAATGAATGTACCGTTGAAATATTTTCATTCACTCATGTGTGATAGCCGATATGAACAAGAATATTGACTTCGAGACGGAAATGTCACCTAATAATTCAAGTAATATTATTCATAAGGTTTAGCCATTCATTTGATGAATACTTCTCCCCCACTCCAATCTTAAACAATTCTCCCCATCCACCATCCCCTTTAGCTAACCTACGTTAAGAGGTTAGATACGCACAACTTATTGAAGACCAACTCCTGTGCGATGAAAAGCCAAACCAATTTTTTGTGAAGAAAACAATTTACGGTGAACAATCTTTAAGAGCTGCTGCCATGATCTGTTCTTGTTTTCAGAGACTTAAAAGGGAACAGAAAGAACAACAAGAGAAAGAACTTCTTGAGAAACGTCAGCAATTCAAAGAAGCAACAAAGAATCTGTTGGTGTTTGCACCTGAAGAATTAGCTCCCAAGGAGAAACCGTCGAAAGGAAGAAAGGTAAGCTAGCCCACGTGTAGCCGCACCCTCCCCCATCGGCTGTTTCTGTTTGACAGTTTTGACTGGTTTTATTGTGTTTGCTTTTACATTGCATGTTGGCGTTGTGGCACTAAGCCAATCTAAAAAAGAGCTTATAGTGACATGCACAAGTTTTCCCGCGCTTCATGTCAGCTACAATTATTTGTTTTGAATTCTTATTGCTTCATTGGATTGTCTTCCCGTGTTGTGATTGGTTGGTGCAATAAGCCAATCTAAAAAACAGCTAATAGTGACACGCACAAGTTTTTCCGCGCTTCGTGCTAGCTCGAGTACACTTATTTTCTTTGAATTCTGATTGATTCATTGGATTGTCTTCCCGTGTTGTGATAGGCCAATCTAAACAACAGCTAACAGTGACATGCACTAGTTTTCCCGCGCTTCGTGCCAGCTACACTTATTTTCTTTGAATTTTTGATTGGTTCATTGGATTTTCTTCTTGTGCTGTGATTGGTCGGTGTTATTATTCGTGTAACAACACTCAGCACTTAGCAGGGGGACAATTTACCACAGGCATAGAGGGATAAACGAGGTAAACATTTTTGTGAAATGCATTAACAGATTCCCTATCCCTAAACTAGACTTTTACAAGACCTAAAGATTAGGGATCTGTTAAAACATTTCACAACAATGTTTACCACGTTTACCTCCCTCTACGCTCATGGTAAATTGTGTCCCCATGTAGAAAGTGTTATGTTGTTTCAGATTTCTCCTCATGTTTTCTGTTTTCTTTGCATGCACAGAAAAAGACCGCTGATGATTTTGTTGCCAGTAATGACGAAGAAAGTGACGATGAAGGAGTTGAAGATGGGGATGAAGAAGGAAAAAAAGTGAAGAAACCGAAAGTTAAGAAGGAAAAAAAACGGTAAGAAAAGCTTTTAAAGCTGTTATATCACTGTGAAATTGGTTACTTGTTTCTTAGCCACTGGGCACAACTACGATGGTATTGACGGACAAACTGCATAACCACTGCGGAAAAATGATCTGGAAATGTCAGTTGTCAGTTGAAACGCAAGTCTCGTTTCTTTCTCTGGTCGCCATTATTTCTTTTCTTTCAGTGTTGTTTTCTTGTTTTGTTCTTTGTTGTATAAAGCGTAAATGCACCGCCCATAAAATGCGTGGGCAAGATACAAGCAGAAACAAGTGCGCACATGAATACCAACAACCTCTGGCAAGGGCCAGAGCCCTTGGTTTTACAGCCTGTCTGCGATGTTGTCGGTCGGAAGCTGTGGCTTCCTCAGTCTGTGTGTTGATCTGTAGGGGTTTGAGGTCTCTCTGGCAGACATCCTTGAAGCCAAGCTGTGGTCTGCCTGTGGGACTAGTTTCCTGAGACAGCTTTTCGTGAAGGAGCTTCTTTGGCATTCGGTCATCGTCCATTTGGACAACCTGACCAAGCCAGCGTACTAATCTCTGCTTAAACATGAGAAGTTTACTTTTTCCAAGACGTCTTTATTGGTCACCCTGTCCTGGCACTTGATATTTAGTTGACGTCTGAGGCAGCGCCTGTAAAATGTGTTTAGTTTGCGTTCCTGGTGGGACCGAAGCGTGCAGGACTCGTTACTACCAGCTTCGTATGTTCAGTCACCGGTACTAACAGCGGTTTTATTCAGGACCAGCTCACCCAGACGATCATTTTTCACCTACTTATGATAACAGCTTTAATATGCACGTGAAACACAGAGTGATATTTCTGTTTGTTTGTTTGTTTGTTTGGTGTTCTGCTCATTGATGATCGATTTGGATACAAGCCTGAAAGCAGTCAAAACTTATTTTGCAACTTTGTTTCCTCACAGGAGGAAAAGACGTGTCAAGGAAGAAGGAGATGAAAATGCACCAAAGAAAAAGAGGTAAGTGCTTAGCAACAATGCGGGACACTACATGTAATATATATTTGGCAATTCATGTCGCTTTTCTTAAAGGGGATATGTAACAAAGATATTGCTATTTTAGGTTAATTCTGTACTGAAGTCTTTACCCCATACACAAAATGCTCTTGACGAGCTATATATAAAGAAGATATTGAACAAATTCCACCAGGGAGCACTAACCATGATAATTGTTGCAGGCAAAGCATGAAAACTTTCAATTTTCAATCAATGTCCATCTTTGCGATCCTTACCAACAGATGACAGGAGACAGTTCAGTGGCAAAATATAGTCTTTAAAAACGAAGCTGGGTCATTTTTTGTGAAATTCAGTTGATACGAAAAACGTTTTAGCTTTTGAAAAAGATAGCAAATAGCATGACATAGGCCCTTTAAACAAAGTGATCGTTCAATTTTTTAAATCGTAGCAACTTTGACTCCGAAACGTCAGTCACTGTCAACAACAACAACAGTCCTATTCAGGACTACGTTCACCCGGACGATCATACTCAACCTACTTAGGAAATACTGGTATTCTCCATGTTGTTCTGTTTAGACTCCTAACATTTCTAATGTCGAGGGTTTGTTCAAAATTCCATTTTTTACTACCACCAAGCCACACTAACTGGTAACAATCCATGATGTATCATATTTTGTTACAGAAGCCGTAAGCAGAAAACTGAACCAAAAGAGAAGAAGTCTGCCGAGGAGAAGCTGGGGGCAAAACAGCGACTTAAAGTAAAATCCAAAGCGTTCGTTTCTTCTTCAGAGGACTCGTCAGATTCAGAGGCCGAGAAACTCAAGATCGCTGACATGTAAGTACTTACAGTACGAGTAAACGGAATATTTCACAAGAAAGTGTTTTGCTTAAATACACTCGAGCATGTATAAACGGTAACCTTTCCACAGTGAAACAGATAAAACTTTAAAAAGGTAAAGGCGCACACGAGCAAAAGGCCCAAAAGGCCGGAGCTAATACCGGTTCATGTCTAGGAGTATTGGTACCCCTCCCCCACTCCCTGGACAGGTTTCTAGTCCATCGCAGGGTTACCCCCAGGCGTATGTTGCCGGTTATCTTTTATACACCTGGGTGAAGAGAGACAAAATGGAGTAAGTTTCCCTGTCTACGGAACTAACGTGATGGGCGAGGCTTGAACCCGGACCTCCAGATCCGGAACCGCTCGGCCACAGAGGCCTCCACAGATGAAATTTGATTCCCCGTGAAACAAAAAGAATAATAGTGACAGTTATGGATGACAGAAATAGAGAAATAAACGTTCTCTTTAATTGGAGGGGTGTTCTTTGCTGTATGGTCAGCCAGACTGGGATCTACAGATTTGTGGCATCAGGTCTAAAACACGGTTTTTTTTTAAAAGTGAGTATACGGCAAACAAGCGCGGTTCTTCTTACCTTCCATAGGGGAAGTGATGACGAAGACATGAGTGGCAAATCTGACGCAGGAAAAAGCGAGAATGAAGAGGAAATTGAAAAAGAAGAGAAGGAAGACAGTAACGAAGAAGCAGAAGAAAAACCACAAAGTGGAAGGAAACGATTACTGTCAAGTGACGACGACGATGATGATGATGATGATGAAAACATCAATGATGAGGAGGAAGAAAAACCACAAGATGATAATGATGATGATCAGCAGCCATCCACAAGTCAAGAGACACCTAAAAAGAAAAGCAAAAAACTTATTAGCTCGTGAGTACAATTTTTTTTCTCCTTTTAAGGAGGCGTTCGACAACACGTTTTTCGGAATGACGCCAGATAACAACTCATGTTTTGGCGCAATCCCTGGGGGATTACTTGATTCACTGATTGATGCGGAAACCGGTCGTTTCGATACAAGGAGTTTTGATACGACCTCAAGCACTTAAATTACTCAAAAATTTCGATCACTTCAAGTATAGTTTGCACGGACATAAAAACATTTGGGGTGAATATTCTTCGTACTTTAAGCCAAGTACGTGAAACTGTTTACACCTCGACTGAATGAACTTCTGTCGAAACGACTTGTTTCGAAGTGACTTTGTATTGAAACGACCGTTAACCATGGATGCGTGCTTTAACTTTGTCGTGTCTTCCCGCAGATCCGAGTCTGACGATGAGGACTAACAAGCAGTTTCCAGGACTTAGTGCTTGCTCAAGGAAGAGCTTTATGAAGAAGGCCAGTGTCACTCTCTAAAAAAACAACAACAACAACAACATTAAGGACAATAAATCAAGAATTGACTGTTATAATTGCACAGACGCCACCAAGGTGTAATAAAAAATATTGGCCCTTTACGCTTTAGACTTCAAAGTGGTGCCATCCTTACCCAGGATTGCAATTAGCGATATTGATCTCTGTTTTAACATCTGAGGTGTCATTATAACTCCGTACGGTTACTAGAATACGAAGAGGTATCTAGTCGGTATTTGTAGTCACTTAGGGCAAAATATTTAAACGTAGTTCTAAGTCATTTTCAATTTGGGCAACGATTTTATCTAAACATCATTTATTGTGATTTGTCCGGTGGATAGCGCTATCCAACGTTTGAACAACCGGAGCCTGAAGGTTCAAAGATTCATTAAACCGCGGCTTAAGTTAGACTTCGTCTAAATATTTGGCCCTAAGTGTTCCTCTGACTTAGTCTTTTTCACATCAGCCCCCTTCTGCAGTCTCTAGGCAAGACCTTTTTTGATGAACATTTGAATGTGAACAATTTTGACAACACCAATTTAATGATCGGCATTTCCTTTGACAATAAATAGCAATTTCCTTTCTGATCTTGGAGTTTTAATCATACTAAGGCAGTGAACCTTTATTCCTTGTTGTCCCAAGAGTGACCAACCTCAATTTTCTCTTAACAGAATCAGTTATTTATACGAAAGAAGATCATTGCAGTTATAGACGCAACTTTTGCAGTTGCGAAAAGAAAGCCTGCATTTTTTTTTTCGGTGAAATCTTCACCCCGCATTTCTCATATACGATTTCCATATATTCATAACTTCAGTATCAGTTTTATAATCAAATTGATCTCCTAACGGAAAATGCATTTATCTTTAAACAAATTCCTTCAGCTAATATAATCCTTTAAGGAAAGGTATGGAGAGTTGTATAGAGAATTGGTATGTGGAAAATGTTATGCAACGCTGATGATGCATAGTATATGCTTCCCTTCTGGCAAATGGAAGACTTCTACAGACTTTGTTAAATCTATCTCTAAACCCCTGTAAATATATTTCACAGCAGTAGTCTTGAATAAACACTCTCTGTCAAAATGGGTTGCTCGCTTTTTTTGTCAGAAATTATTGATCCCAATGCGGCCACTGTGGTTTTCAGCAGCATTTACCATGATCTTTTTTGTCCTTCATGGATGCTACTGTCAAACATTCATGTGTGACCATTTCTCCTAAGCCACTGCCATACCAAACACCAAAGTTATTACTGTATGGCTTAATGACCACAACAGTGAAAATGCAAGTCACAACAAGGACCACAAGAGTGATCACAACAGCCATGATGTTCACAGTGGTGACCACTATGTCCACGACAACCAAGATGGCAGCTGTAATGACCACAACAAAAACCACAATGACCATAACAGCAACCACATCAACCACAACAGGTACCACAAGGACCAGGCTGACCACAATGAGAGCAACCTCAAAGTCAGTGACCATGACAACCATGATGACCACCACCACAACCTTGATGACTGTGGCAATGGCAACACAGGTCATGAAAGTGATCATCAAGACAGCCATTGCAATGACCTCAATAACCAGGATGAGCACAATGACCTCAGCAGTGGCTGTAATGACTAGGATAGTCAACAGAGCTGTGACAGTTACCACAAGGACCATGATGGCAACTACGATGACCTCAACAGTAACCAGAATAATCAGAACAGTCGCTGGCAAACACATCATCCATGGCAGCAACCGCAAGGACTAGGAGAACCACTACCATGACAGCAACAATAATCATCTTCAAAAGTAGGTTGAGTTTGATCGTCCGGGTGAACGTAGTCCTGAATAGGACTGTTGTTGTTGACAGTGACAGACGTTTCGACAACCTGTGCGGTAGTCATCTTCAGAGTCAAAGTGAGTTGTATCAGGTCAGTTGATGGTATTATACTCTGGTTATTGATCTGATTGGTCAATTACATCGCGATGTTATTGGTCGTCTGTCAGTTAAGCCGTGATGTTATTGGCTATGAAGACTCGTAATCAGTGATTGGTGCGTTTCGATCCGTCTATTTTCACAGTTAAACAGTCGTCTATTGTTAGTCAAATTGTCAGTTCATCCAGTCGTTTTCTCGTAGTTAGTATTGCTTGATCTCGTCAATAAGTCCTTTGTTTATAATCATCTTATTAGCAACAACCACACCGCAATGGTGTCCACATTGATATTACCGATAATGATTCACACAAACAATTGTCCACCATGACCAAAACAATCACATCTGTGACCACAATGACCACTGCGACTGCAGTAGCAACCACAAAGACAATGGTAACCACAAAAATTAAAATGATGACCAGGATAACCACAACAGTAATAACAAAACCATAATGACCTCAATGATGACCACCATGATGGCCCAGCATGGATTTTAAGATACCATGACAGCAACGGCCACGAAAACACCACTTCCAACTCGCTTACTTTGTCAAATGCAAGTGAACTCTTCTGGTGCTGAAGTCCTTATAGCCATGTCCAATGTTCATCAGGGATTTTTAGTAACGTGGTTCTCCCTGATGTTGTAACTCAGATATGGTACGCACTGACTTGCATCAAAGATGTAGACATGGGATCAGCTACAGCAGTCCCATCAGAGACCCTCTAGATCTGCAGGGGCAGGTCCAGAATGTTCAAAAAGGGGTTTGGAAAGGGGTGGCCTGGACAACTTGCCCACTTGCCAGCTATATAGATAATTTTTATTCTTCTCAGAACTCTGTGAAAATAATACAAAATTTCAAAGAAAAAGGGGCCGCCACAGTCTCCTTGGGTTACCCCTAAACCCCTAAATCCACCCTACTAACTAACCACACGATTTGCATTTTGGGTGTTCACTTAAGAGGGGTATGACTCTATTTTTTATGCCCTTTGAATCATGTTTCGAGTATTAGTTTGTTAGCTATATTCACATCAATTCAAGGCTAATATTTCTATCAAACCTTACTTCTTGTTACTTTTTCTGCTTTTAAGTTTTTCCATTCACTAGTGAGCAATGTTGGAATATTTCGCTTTGTGTTCAACATCTCTTTTGGGGGAGTGATACTAGAAAAGTTTGGCTTAGACATTTGCCGATGATATGATGAACTTGTTAGCGAGGTCCCATGCTATTATTCCTATAGATATTGACTGTAAAGTATTGAGAAGCAGTTTCCTGGACAGGATAGGTTGAGTGAAATTGAGAAGAGTGTTAAGAACCATGCTGCAATGCATATAAAACAAAAAATTCAACATTATCTTTTTCATTTAAATCAATTTTATTTCAAATAAGTAAATAAATGAACAGAATGTCATCGAGATAAATATAACATACATGTACAACATCAGTAGTCTAGAAATAGAGCAAAATACAATAGGATGCATTTTCACACTTGTTTTTAATATTATTAAATAGCAAACTGGAATAATTTCAAAATAACAACACCAGGAAAAATAATGAATGATTATATTCCAGAAAAACTTTGCATACTGCATGATCTTGAAAAAGTACCTTCTCAGAAATCTGTACAAAGACTAATAAAATAACCCAACCAAATTTAAAATACAATACTCAGCAGAGACTATTTTATTCTCGTTGATAGATTACATAAACCAACCCTGTTGACACTCCCAAAAAGTTTTTAAAAAATTGGCCATAAGCTCTTTTTGCTAGAAACTATTATGTATATATTGCAGAGACCCACTAATGTTCTGAACAAAAACCAACAAAGCTCTGAGCAGCAAAAACACACACACTTGACACTGAAGATTAATGCTCAGTGTGAACTCTTGTCGCCCTATGATACATCTGTATAGAGTGGTTTTCGTTTGAGTGTCGTAAAACCAAAACCAAAGTAATTACTCTGGCCAATCACATAGGACACAGACAATACATTGAACCAATCAAAACTCGAAGTAATTACATGTGGCTGACGCAAAGCGCGGGAAAATGCATGCGAGCGCGTCACAATTGGCTTTGGTTTTACTTCTGATTGGATGAAAAGGTGGCGCGAGTCTTTTAAGCCAATCGCATCGTGTAGAAAGTGCAAAACCAATTACTTTTCGACACTCAAATGAAAACCGCTCTATACACCATGTTGTATTACATAACTTAAATACCGCAAAAATTCCGAAAATAAGCCCGTCCATGTATAAGCCCCTCCAAATATAAGCCACCCAAACCGGTAACGCAAAAAGCCCTCCGTTAAATCGCCCTTCCAAATATAAGCCCCCGAGCCCCCAGGGGGCTTGCCCTCAAATACAAAGTAAAACAAAGCAAAATGGTAACTTTACTTCAAACTATAAGGCTAGCCCAATTGATTTTGAAACACAAATTTCCCTCTGTAGATAAGCCCCTCCGAATATAAGCCCTGGGGCTTATTTTCGGAAGTTTACGGTACGTAACCAACATCGACAGTGGTGAATATTATTATATAATTTTTGTTTTATTTTGTGGAATGGAGAATGGACTCATTGTTTGAACAAAGGTCCAAAGTTTCTAT